GTGTTCCTCTCTTCCCCTCCTGCTGATGTTTTTGTCTACAAAGAGAATTTTTTATTCCTGCTCAGTTCTAAGCACAAATGGATGTGTATCTAGCCAGTAACAGCTCTTTATTGTTTCCTTTGAAGGCCAGACAATGTCCTTTTGAATTGTGCATATTGGTGGTCATCTTCTGAATGTTAGTATTAACTACGTGGGCACGGAATCTGAAATTCAGGAAAGAAGTAACAGACCTAGTGGGGAGGGAACTAACAGATATGGAATTTAATGATCCCAGTGAACTTCTGTGATTGATTATAGCAAGAAGACTTCAATTTCATTTTCCTGAGATAGTCAAGGTGGAGGTGTGGACTGGTGACCCATTGTAATCTGCAAAGAAAGAAGTTGATTCCTGTTTCACTGCTAAGCTGCTGATGTAATACTAATATAGTGCCTGGAGAAACACTTGTGACTGTAATTACTAAGCAGATAATTACCTAGTTGCTTATTTAAATAACATCCTTTTGAAACTAGATGCACAGTTCGGACCTGTAATAGCTATTGTGAAAATCAGTGTGTCTCATGCAGCTTCTGTCTACTTTTTTTTTCTTCACAAATGTTTTGATAGCTGTAGTAGTATTACCCATACATTATCATACCCTAACTTGTATTAATGATTATGTGTGTGTGTGTTGTGTTTTTCTTGCAGTGTCTGTCTTTGAGCTTTGTAAGTTGTTGGTATTTTCTGTAACGTAATTCATGATCATTTTTGCAACAGCTTCCACTAACAGTAGAAAACACTTTAAAATATTTTGAAGGGTGTAAGTTAGCTCTTATCCTAACTCCAGTGAAACTTCTAGAGAATCTCATGGGTTCAGCTTGTGGGATTCCCATATAAATTTAACAGAAAAGTGAAGAACCTTGGGGAATGGCTTTATATCAGAGTTGCTCAAATGGGTCAGCCTTGCTTATGCTCATGGGGAAATGTGCAGCCATCTGACAGCCTGTGGAAAAAAACAAAGGGCTGTTTTTAAAGTGAGAATGCTTATGCTGTGCTTTCACTGCTTGCTTCATTTCTCCTTACATGGAGATTCTTCTCCTTCTACCACTAAGAGAAAACTGTAATGTTTATTACAAGAGCAGTGGTTTTATTGTGCATGTTTGTAATCTACTCATCTAGTGTCTTATTTTAGTTTCGATCCATACAGAACATGATGCTCTGCAACTGCCATTAATTCACATTTTTAGCTCTAGTAGCAGAAGGTGGGTACAATAGGCCGAAATGCTTCAACCCTCCTGATAAACCACGTGTCTGTCACTGTGGGGCTGTCTCATAGAACTTCCACTTGCTTAGTTTACTTTTTCAGAATAGCTTCTAACTTCTTCCTCAGCTTAAAGAAGCCAAACACTCCACAGCTGGAATGTCCAACTCGGGTTCCCTGTGAGGAGTGTGCCTGCTTGGACCTGTTGGGGGAAGGAACTTATCAGAGCTGTGTAGTCAAGAATATGGAGCATCAGTGGGGTGTTCATACCAGAAGAGGGAATGCAAGGCAGGGAAGAGACTCCTGTGCTGAGAACAGGTTTCTGTCCTTACCAATTCCACAAAACTCCTCTTGAGGTTTTTGGAGCTGCCCTCTAATTGCATTCTTTGTGTACTGGGTGTTTAGCTCTGAGATCACAAGCTGAGAGGAGGAGGACATCAGCTGGTCTCTACAGGACACAACGCAAGCAAGCAGAAAGATTGTAGGATTAGCTGCTCTCCAAAGTATCTTCAAATAGATACTGTATTATTAGACAGCATCAATTTTAGCATAAGGGAGGTTGTGTGTGTTCATTGTGTGGATATTGAGGCTGTTGCAATGCCCATGCTGTGGGCCCTATCTGTGGAAGGAAGTTGTTTTATTAGTTGTGATGCATTCTGATCTGGAAGGGCTGAGTGGGGCAGAAGAATCCCTGAGGAAATGCACTGCTGGGTGTGCAGAGCAGCCTTTCAGTCCAGGTTGTAGGAACCAAGGTGTAGCATCATGCTCAGAGGGATGAAGTAGCAAAATACTGAGCAGCTGCTCATGAAGCTGAGAGAGGCAGGAGGCTCTTTGGGGACTGTAGGAAGTGAGTGCAGTTTAAGACTCTACTGCAATGCATGTGCAGAGCCAGGCCAAATTCAAGCTCTACAATTGTTTACAAGACTGATGTTCCCTAACTTTTGAGTTTGCTTCTGTTAACTACTGTGTAGGGTGCTTGATTGTCATGTGCTATAAACAAGCAGTTGTGAACAGGTGAAATGGCTGTTACTGAAAATACTGGAATCTTTTCATTTTTGACATTAAAGGGTCTGCCATGTCTTAATGCTGAATTCAAGTCTCATGTGATGGGTTCAACTGACCGAGGATTGTGCAGATGCTTTCACTTAGTAGAGCAGGAAAACCCTTTTTTCTAGATACTTTTTGTTTATAGAAAAAGGTTTAGGTGTAGTGCTTTCTCTTCTTTCTAATTCTAGACAAAGAACCTCAGTCAAAATATTTGTACAGGACAAAGTAGCAACTTGTTCTTTCACTGTTCACTTTCACATATCTAAGATTTGGGCCTAATGCTGGAGGTCCCAGAGCCACCAGCTCTCTTCCCATAGATAATCTGTGCTGTGATAATCAGAGAAAATATCACTGGATTTGGGCAGGCAAAAATAAATCACAGAAATTCTTTCAGCTTTCACATGCAATATATTTCAGATGACAATGCCTGGAGCCTACACTAGCATTTTTGTCTAATAGGAGAGAAACACAGTAGGAGACAACTCTGGAATAATTCCAGAAGTAGTATCTACTCTGGAATTCAGTTACTTCTGGGGGATAAAAAAGGTAATTAATTGGGGATGTTATTTATGTTACATCCTTTGTCCTCTCCTCTCTGCCTAGTCTTTTATGTTGAGGTTGAATACCTGCTTGTAAGTGGGGAATAGACAGGAGGGACCATGACTTCACTGGGGAAGTGAGGACTATTTTCATTGTTCTCTGCATTTGTCATTCCTTGGGGTTAACTGCCCTGGTGGAGGTAAATACATCACAGCTGCAAAATGCCATCCCAGTAGGCTCCTGTAGACCAGGAAAATAGTGTGTAACATTTATTTGGACTTCTCTGACTATACAAAAATTGTCAGATCTATAATTACATGTGTGTGGCTGAACCAATGTAAATTTCTATTTTAGGTGTGTGCTTAGGGTGAATAAAACAATAGAATTTTAAAGAAAAATTGGCCACATGAGCAGAAGTCCGCAGCAGTCATGGATTTGATGACAGTATGAATTTTGGGTGGTTATGAAAGTTCTCAACATTTCATGAATCATAAAGAATTCATAAAAAGAAATTAAAAATATGGTCTTTAAAATATTTTATTAAAAAGAAGATGCAGACTTTTTTCTTGCTGCTTAGGCAGTGAAGGTTTGGGTCTTTTGAGCTCAGATGTGGTAGTCTGTTAGTTTACCTGTTACATCAAGAGTAGCATCCCTGAACTGAGAAATTTGGGAAAAGCCGTGGGTTTCTGGAGGAAACAGTGTTGTTTTATTTTTAGCTGCATCATTAGTGCTGATTCGAATTTTTACCTATGTTATTTCATTGGGATGATATGCCAAAAGACAACATTCAATTGTATCTAATTTTCCTTCAGTTGTGCACAGCCAGTGCACATTTCCAGCATGGACTGACAGTTGCTGGCTTGTAACTTAGCTTAGCTTTTTTTGATGACTTCTCATTTCATTTATTTTTTTTTGCATGGAATCAAAATGTTCAATAGCATTAGTTCCTAATGTTTTACTATGTGTTAGTAAAATACTTTATGAATGTGTTTTATGAACATGTTCCAGAAAGGTATCTCTTTCTTGGGTTAGAATATTTTTCTTCTATTAATATTTCTTATTGGTAGTTAATTGCCTTCACTTTTACAAGCATAGCTCCAGTTTGTTATTGATGTTATTTTCCTGGTTTTGGCATCCAGCTACAGTCTTTCATCGCAATTTAATCTTTGGGGTGGAGTTCTTCAGTAATGTCTACTTTCCCTTCGTTACTCTAATTACAGCACCTTTGAAATCATCACTTCTCCTTTTATTAATTGACCCTCCATGGTAACCTCTCGATAATTTAAATGATTAAGTTCTTTAAGTTTCTTGCTGCAAGGCACTTTCTGCTCTTGAATATAGCTGTTACTGACCTTTGGTTTTTTGGCTGTGCTTAAGCAGTGAGATGTAGGCATTGCAATTCTATGGAGTATTTCATTGTTGGTGGTCTTAATATATGGAGCAGGAACTCTTTTCTATGTATTTCCCTTACTCCTTCCCTTATGTGAGTGGGTGTGAGATTAGTCCCTTTTGCTGCAGTGTCCAATTGGCTACATCTGTTTTAGGCATTTTCTGCCCTGACCCTCACACCTCTCGTGCAAGGTCCTGCCTGACAGACTTCAGTCACACAGCTGGGAGACTTGGTCTGTGTTGTTTTGAAGACAGAGGTGTTATTCTGCAGAGCCAGTAGCTGGGGCGTGAGATGAATGGTAGCTCCATTGGATAGCTTTGTCTCTTTGCCACAAGAAAGTCAGGAAAAAAATCTGTGCTTGTCTCTGTATGATAAAGCCAATGTCTGAGAGAGTTGGAAGGTCTTGTGTGGTTAGATTTTAAGGTACTATTTTTATCCTAGAATTAATTTGAGAATACTTTGCTTTATGTAGATAGCACTGTTGTAAATGCTGTGGGATGTGCACCAAAGGATTGTAAAACTCATCCAATAAAAAGTACCAAAGCATTTTGTAGAGTTCAAAGCCTGGCCAGCCATGCTTTCTGCTGGAGAATATCGGATGTTTTTCTCTTTCAAGTTGTTGGCTGTAAATCCTCCAGGCACATCCTAATCAATGCCTGGCATATAAAATTAGCTAACACTCTTAACTGCAGTGTGGTACGTATTGGTGCTATGTATTTAAAGGCTTTGATGGAATAATGCCCCAGTCCCTTGTACTCAGCAAGTCCCTTTTCCTTTCTGAACAGGATCCGAGGGAGCTTCCAGCAGGCAGCCAAGATGAATATGGTGAAGAGGATCATGGGCCGGCCCCGGCAGGAGGAGTGCAGCCCCCAGGACAACGCGCTGGGCCTGATGCATCTGCGGCGCCTCTTCACCGAGCTCTGTCATCCCCCACGCCACATGACCCAGAAGGAGCAGGAAGAAAAACTTTACATGATGTTACCGGTGTTCAACAGGGTAAGCCGGGCCATTTGCAACAAGCGTGTCCTTTATTTGAATTGCCTGTTCATATTTTGTATTCCCAAGACCTTTTGGATTTCTCCCATTGGCATCCTTTCCGTTTTCCCCTTGTCCTCATACATACAGTGTTGTGTAAGGGGATAAACTTACCTTTGGAAGTTTCCTTTTCTTACCACTTTTTCTCAAGTGCAATCCACAGATGCATGTAGACTGACAGTTTTTCTGCAATGCTCACTGCTATTACAGTCATCTGATTTCCAGCCTAAACTCTGGGAGCAAGTTAATACCCACTTTTTTTGTGTGTGACAGCAGTGTCCTGGAGTCTAAATAGCTCTTCTCCCTTCTTTGCATTTATTGTCCTGATGCATATTTAGAGATAGCAATCATAATATATCCTGTCAACTTGGTTTTTCTAGGCTACATGAGCTGAACAATTTTAATTTCTCATGTGATATATCCTCTATGTTCTTATCACCCTTATAGGCCTTTTTCTATGTGCTGAGTCTGAATCCTCCTTCTTGGACAAAGGAGATTTTGAGCAAGCAATCTATAGGGAAAGTATCGTAGCTGCTTCTACTGTGGCATTCATATTTCACTACTCCCTTGTACTCAGGCCCTGAGATTTTGTTTGGAGGCAGAACTATGGCAGCTGTCACTGCAATTATTAGAAACTAAATCCTCTTGATGTCTTATATCACTCAGTTACCCTGCCAGATTATTGTGAATATTAATTTTGATGGTTGTTTTAGGGTCGTGAAAGACCAGTAGGTACAGATCTAGCTTTCTTTTTTTTTTCCCCTGCTGTGTGCTCATACTCCTTATTCTTGGGTGATGGATTTGTTCTTGTATATGCTACCCCAGAGAACTGGAATAATCAAAAAAAAAAAGGATTTTTTGTTGAAAGTGTGGCTTATGAAGGTGTTAGACACGGAGCTGATTGTATGCTTGTGCTGGTTTTGCTGGGATACAGTTAATTTTCTTTATAGCAGCTAGTGAGGGCTGTGTTTTGGATTTGTGCTGGAAATAATGGTGATAATATGGGGATGTTTTAGTTATTGCTGAGCAGTGCTTATACAGAGACAAAGCCTTTCTGCTCTTCACCCCGCTCCACCAGTGAAGAGGCTGGGAGTGCAGATGGAACTGGGAGGAGACACAGTGACCCCATCTGACCCAGTGGATATCCCCTATGTATGGTGTCAGGCTCAGCATGTAAAACAGGGGGAAGAAGGAGATGGGGGCATGTTTAAAGTGATTTGTCTTGCCAAGTCACTGTTACCCATGAAGGGCACCTGCTTGTCCAGAAAGCAGTGAATGAATTCCTTGTTTTGCTTTGCTTTCTTGCATGGCTTTTGCTTTCCCTATTAAACTGTTTTTATCACAACTCATAAATTTTTTTACCTTTTGCCCTGCTATTTCTCTGCCCTGTTCCACCTGAGAGCAATGAGCTAGTGTGGTGCTTAGCTGCCATTTGAGCTTAAACTACAACAGTGCTGTGTAGAAAAACTATTCCTAGTCAAGACATAGTATTACTAGGATTTTCAGTCTAACAGGTAGTGTACTTTAGTGGATGGATCACTTGAATGCCATTCTGTTGCCCTAGGTCTTATTTCTACTGGTAACCTGTTGTGTGAGTTTGGGAGAAGTAAATTCATTTCATATGCCTCCTCTTTAATTTATCTTCTTGGATTATATGCCTTTTAGTTACGGACTTTCTTGATTTGTTTTTACAAATTAGCACAGTAGAATCTTAATCTTGCCTTGAGCTCATGAAGATTATTTTGATGCAGTTATGCTTGGAAATCTCCCTCTGGTGGTTACATGAGGCTGATGCTTCTGGAAAATAGAAGGCTCCCACTTGAGCTTCTTTAGCACTTAACTCTGATCTGCAGGTGGAGAAGAATTTTTTCTTAGCCTTTATGGTAACTACTGGCAGAAGCATTATATCTGTAGAAATTGCAGTTGGTAATACTGCAGAGTTTAAGTAAAACTAGTGTATCAGAGCATGCACAGCAGTTTAAGGAAAGACTTTGATTAGACTTCTGAGATGAAAAAAAATCAGTTAAGTTTTAATTTCTCCATTGTTTCTGCTTTTCTGTTTCCTTTCTAAATATGCATCCTGTCCTCCCTTTATGCCACTTGCTGGCTTTGTCCTAATTCTCATCTTCTCTGGACTCTGCTGAAGCTTAGTTGAAGTTACTTCACGTTTTTGCACCACTTGCTCTATCTGTCCTTCATTCAGCTCACGTGCTCAATGGCTTTCAGAATGAAGCATTCTGAAAACCAGCTCAGTAGCCCCAAGTTTTCTTCTTACTTCATCAAATCAGCTCTTGTCTAAGTAATGTCAGGTGACATTTTGTCTAAGTAATGTCAGGTGACATTTATATTCTTGAACAGATTGATGCTTTCTGTGATGTATATTTGTGTGAATGCATCTTGGCCACTCTTTTCCTCAGTTTTTCTGCTTTTTTGTAGTAGCTTTTCCTTCCCCAGGTTCCCCATGTCTCTTTTCTATTCTTTGCAGAATCCATCTAGTTTTGTTTATGGACTCTTTTCTCTGAGTCCTAGAGATGCTTCTGTACCCTTCTTTACTGAAGTGAACTTGGTGCTGAAGGCACATTCTTATGTGTTTGCCAGATGTTTTGTTTTTCAGTCCTACTTCTGGTTGTTTTCTTCCTCTTTCCTCTTCGCCCTTCCCCCCAGTTTCCTTGTTTAGTTTTAACATCACTGTCCTCAAAATCTACCTGCTTTGAGCTTGTGAGCTTCTTGGAGCTGTCAATTTTTTTTTATTTGTACCACAAATACAGACCGTTGCTAGATATTGTCACTTCAGTTTTCAGTCTCTAAAATCTGAATCATATCTTGGCATACTAAAGAAAGCAGGTGTTGTTTCTGCTTTCACTTGCTTTCTTGCATAGCTTGATAACTATTACCAGTCATCAATGAACTGGGATAGTGTAACCCAAACAAAACTGATTTTTCTTGATCAGTCAGGTCTCATCCTGTCTCTGTTGTTGGAGGATTTTTCCTTGCATTTCCTGTAAAGACATTCTTGTTTTCCTGTATTCAAGAGGCTGAGCAGTTGTGATGCCATCTCTTTCTACTTTTGCAGTTTACTTCTTTAGATTCCTGGTTAATGCCACCTTTTTCTTTTGACGTTCACATACAAGGTCTACAGTGGCTTCCTTGGCTTATCTAATTTTATGTCTTCTGGAGTGTCAGCTCTTGATGGTACAGCTTGTTTTGGAACAATTCTGCTAGCTTAGTAACTCTGCAGGTCACAGTAAGACAAACTTTGATTGGAATATAAAAAAGTGAAAGAAAAGAATCTCATTTTCTAAAGAGTCTTGAAAGAGATTTTCACTGGCAGATATGGTAAATCTTGACACAACTTTTCTCTGAGAAAGGACTCTTTTGCTATCAGGAAACACTAAAACATTATTAGAAGTTCCTTTCTAAAATTTTTCTTGTTTCTCAAGCATATTCCTTAGCTGCAGATGTTTCAAGTGATCAGTTAATAACTTTATTCAAATTCAGACTCTGAATCCATCCATCAGTTATTTGCATAGTTATCTTCATTCGTTGAAGATTTTTAAGTGTGATTGAGTACTTTTTCTGTTACTGCCTTAAGCAAAGATTATTATGGTGTGTCATAAAAGCATTTTCTGTTATAAGATTGGAATGTCTGTGTTAGGAGGAGAAATTCCAAATAAATTGTGAAGCTCAGATCAAAACTTCTGAGCCATCCCTTAATGTGTAGTCCAGAATGTCTCATACCAGAGGTGTGAGCTGTTGGAAGTGGGAGCTGGAGTTTGGCTGGAATCTCTGTGTGTGTGTGTGTGTGTGTGTGTGTGTGTGTGTGTGTGTGTGTGCACAAAATGCAGTAAGGAGTCCTGGGAGAAGCATTGTTTTTGCTGAGTGCAGAGATCTGGAGTGAAGAAGGTAACTCTGCTTCCCAGAGGCATCCAAGTGGCCAGCAGCAGGCAGCCAGTTAAATACCCAGGGTATCCAGGAGCTCTTTTGAGGCTTTCTTGCTTAGCCATGGGGTTGAGATTTTTCCTTTCATCAGGAGTATCTCAAGTTTTGTATAAAATGCAACTTCATTTCCTTTTTATTTTTTTTATTGTGAGGATTATTAATCAGTAAATTCTGCAGAGCTAAAGCATTCTTGAGTTTGGTTAATAGACAGAGCATATCTCAAACCTGCTGTGGATAAAACCATCTTGCTCGTTCTGGTAATGAGTGGGTTTACAGACCATTTCTTTTTCTTCATTGTTCAGGGAGGCTTGTGAAATGATGAATCACATAGTAATGAAAAGCTAAATTGGTGCATAATTAACAAGAGAGCAGGCCTATGGAAGAGTAGTCAAAAGGCTCCTTTCAGAGTTCAGTGAGTTTGTGGAAGCACTGCTCTACCAACGTGGTGGTAACGATTGTGCAGTATGTGAGAAAAGTGGATGGAATGATGAGGAGGCTGGTTTTGAATAAGTGGTGCATTATCTTGAAAGAGCTTTGCTTTTCTTTATTAAAAAGACTGTTTACTGCTAAAATGTGTAACATCCTGTTCCTGATATTTACTACCACTTTTAGTCAAAGGGTATATAAATATCCACTGGAGATGCTTATTCTACATAGTACATACTTGGTTATGGGGTGACTAATTAAAATCCACTTGACCTCAGTTAACCTTTACTGTAACTTTGAGTTCTCTGCATTTCCTGGGAACTGCTGACAAATCTGAGCAAGCTCAGGACAGGTAACAGGGCCAATTGTTTTTCCTCTTCATTTGGTCTGGGTGAAGGAGCTTTAAACAATTAGTGATGACAAGATGCTATTGTGCATTCTGGTCTAGATAATCTTGCTTATGTTATATGAGCATGCAAACCTCAAGGCCCTCTTCTTACAGCCTTGTGGAAGTTAGGGACTCTTGGATGAATTGGGAGCTGATGCAGACAACTCCAAAAGGAGATCTTGTGAAATATTTAGGGAAACTTGGATTGTCTGTACTAGGCATGGTGTGTAGTCTGTAATTCAAATGAGGAGTGTTTTTCTTGGTCAGCAGAAAACAGTTCTCTGCCTGTAATGTCTGGTCTCCCATTTGCTTGCTCTAATGATAATGGTGGTTGAAATTTACAGTATGAGAAATACTTATGCCTTTGGTGAAAACTATTTTTGTTTTGAGGAAACTGAGTGTTCCATTTCGATGTTGTATTTCTGGCTCCATTTCATCATGACTTTGCAATGCAAGTAGACAGGAAAAAATATTTTTGGCTATTTTGTGATGTGCCGGAGTAACTGACACTAAGGGAGGTAAGAAGTCAAACTTTGACAAAAGTTATTCTTCCTTCTGCCTTTTAAGTCTTCTTCAGTGACTTAGGGGTTCCAGGGTTAGCTGGCACCACGATTACCTTGCATCCCTGTTGGCTGCAATCATGGATTTCACTGGATGTCCCTGGACTTGAGAATGACCTCAGCCAAGTATGTCAGCAACTCAGCTGTAACAGGATAACTGGGTCACCCAGAGAGAGGAGACAGGGGTGAAGCAGCTGTTGAGTCCAAATCAAGTGTACTGTTGTAGAACACATCCTCCTTCTGGGAGGCCAGCATAACCTGTTGAACTTAAGTTTTGCTAGAAAAATACTGTCATCTTTTATGCTCATCAGGGGCACTCCTGAAAATTACATAAATATCTATAAAGAAAAAAAATTCAAACAAGCAGAGACTGTTCAGGTCTCCTGGGCAGGCTATTTCTTCAGCACTACCACAAGTGATGATACCATAATTTCGATTGTATGCTTTGTTTGATAATGAATATCTTTGGTTTATTGTGACCATTTCAGTGCAAGTTTTACATTGGAAATGTGGATAAAGACTCCTTTTTCTGTGCAGTCTTAAATGAACAGTGAATTACTGCATCAACCATTTTGAGATAATGTGTTCCATAGCTTGGTGCAATACCACAGACTTAACACATTTCTCCTTGTTATATGTGGTCTAATACATTATTTAATAACAAAATCAATGCTTAATCATGAAGAGTAAGTTACTAGAATTAAGTGACAATTTATTAAAAAAAAAGCCTACTGTTGTGTTCAGGAGGATCTCAAAAGAAGAGAGTAAGTCCTTGGGATATGAGCAACCTGGGAGGCTTCCTGGTATTGTCAGTTTATTGAGGAAGGATGTAACAGGGCAGTTCTGATTTTTAGTCCTTTTAAGAGACTTTACACATGTCATTATATTTAGGTCCAATAGATAGTGAAGGAGTTGGTCTTAAAAACAGAAGTCCTATTGGAGAATTTGGTCTGGTACCTGTTCTTTACCCCATTAAGTGCAATCTCAGTCTTTCAGGGTTCTGCAGGGTTTTCATCTTCCAAGAAAACTTACTACTCTTTTCTCTCCATTGATCACATTTTACCTCCCTGAATGAGGTCTGAATTTCAACTCTGAACAGCATGCACTTTGCAAACCAGTGCAGTGATGAATGCTGCAGCATGTGAAGAAAAGCTTGTAATCTCCATAGGGATGCTTCTTCACAAAGGAACATGGTAGTTTGTAGTGATCCTTGTAAACCGAATTATTTTAATGCATCTATTTTTCTCTTGGTTTAGGTGTTTGGAAATGCTCCTCCAAGTACAATGACAGAGAAATTTTCTGACCTCCTGCAGTTTACTACTCAAGTGTCACGATTGATGGTGACTGAAATTCGACGGAGAGCATCGAATAAATCCACAGGTACTGCATGGGACACAAGGGTGGCCTTTTCCACATCTGTGCATCATGGTTTTCACATCAGGCAGAATACTATGAGCTGCCATTCACAGCAACTGTGCAGGCTCAGAAACTGAATTTTGGCAATGAAAATGTGTTGGTTTTTGTTCCTTTGAACTGAGAGAGAGAGGAGGAGATAGAAGAGATTAGAGGTTTCCTCCTTGGTTATGAAGAAAGAGGAGTTCCACAAAATTCCAACAGATGAGAGAGAAAGAGAGAGGTGTGAACAGAGTTGCATGGCCTGCTAGGAGCAGAACATGCATGTGAACGCTGCTGTATCTTGCCTGATGTGCCTGTTGGTGGTGTGTTGTGTCACTTGAATATGTTAACATTCCAAAACTATGCATTTTAAATTAGCTGCTGGCCTGGAAGCTAATAAGATGTGAAAGTACAGCAAGTCCCACATTAGGACCAGTACTGCCAGCCCTAGAAAAATGTCAGTGGACTCTTCTTCTTCTCTGATTATTAAATGTCAGGGTGAGATTTGGTTCTCTTGACCCCTGAATGTATCAGAACCTGATCTTGTGTTGGCAGTTGAATAACTGAGGACAATGCACCAAGAGGGCAGTTTCATTAGCTTTCCTCTTAGACTTCCTTTTCTGAAGAGGAATGCTTCCAAGAAGTATCAAGTCTTTGCCTACTCGATAATTTTAAGATCTGTGCTGTGTTCTCAGTTTGAATCTGGTGATAAATGAGGACTGGAAAAGGCTGTGAAAATTATTGTGCAGGAAGTCAGGAGTCAAACTCTGCCAATTACAATATATTTCCATTTTAAGTAGCGTGACTAACAGTGAAACATTCCAGATGGCTAAACAGATATCATAGACAAAACCTGTTCTCTATGGGTAAAATGTCTTTTCTTTGAGAATTGGGGGAAATAAATGTCCAACAGCCTTGCTGGCAGAACAGTGCTGTTCGCTTGACCTTTTTTTCCTGGGGAACGTCTGTTATGCCTGCTAGTCAGTTGGATTCTGCTGGGAATAACCATTTTTGTGTATTTATTACTTCAGCCATATCTCTGTCTATTGCTCCAAGATAATTCAGTTCTTAAAACGTCACAAGTCAGAGGTACATTTTGTTGATGGTGGTGGTTTGGGTATTTTTCATGTTTTCCACCTCACTTAGAAACTTGACCACAATGACTAAAAAGACAGTTTGGTGCTCTTCTAAGCTTTCATGTAATGAATACCAGTGTTTCTGTTAAAACTGAAAGCAGTCATTTTTCCTGTGTTATCAGGATTGCTGTTGTTGTTCTGGTCAGTAAACCCTTTTCAGACCTCAAGAAAGCCTGATGGGTCCATATTCTGCAATTGCATTTTGACTCTTGGTGGGAGCAGTGAGTTGCAGTTTTGTCTCCAGAAATAACCAATTAACAAGCTGTTAAAACTCAGTTTTTATACTTCTGTGTTAAAATGATTAGAGCTAGATACACACTACCTATGATGTTGATTTGAAAAAATAGAAATTATTGGCTTTTTAGAATATGTTTTATATTAAAGACATCATACTGTGTCTGTGGATTGTGAAGACTTGCATCATTTTTTTAAAAACTCCCATTCTTTTTGTGTCTCAAACAAAAAGATATAACATGTCTTAATAGTTGTTGACAGGTAATTATATCTCCTAGTGTGTTTTTAAAAGTAAAAACATTCAGTAGCAACAAAATGCAGGAGCTGTGTCAGGTAATATACAAGTGCAACTTCCTAATGGTGTGAAATGCTCCACAAAAGTCAACAAAATAGCTGAGCCTGTGTTAGAGACAGGCTTTCCATACAATCAAAAGTCAACTTTCAATAGATTATGACAGGGAAGAAATTTTACAATAATTTGATTTGTATAAATTTGTTGGCAGTGTTTTACAGTGGGGAATGTGGTATGGTTAAATACTGCCAGTCAGTATGTTGTAGGGGTTTTTTTCCTCTTTTTTTTTTTTTTTTTTTTCCTACTCCATCTGATAATGGAACACAGCAATTTTTTTCATCAGTCCTTTGAATATTTATGCTAATAGCTATGTGAGTAATGCCTGCCATGGTGGAGGCACATCTCAGTTATTCTTGGCAGACTGTAGTAATCTTCTCAGAACAGTGTTTTGTGATTCAGTAGTAACTGTGCCAGCACCCTGTCTTAAGTGGTCTCTGAACAATGCCATTGTAGTTGTGTGTTCAGCTATGGTTTCAACTGCCTTATTTCTCTGGTAGGGATAGTAAGAAAAATGAAGCAGTTAAATCTGAGTTAAATTATCTTGCAGGTTTCAGTCTTTGCTGTACAACAGTGATGATTTTCAGGTGACAGCAGTAACTGTTTATGAGGATTAGTGAATAGTTTCCCTTGCCATGGAGTATCTCATCTGTTTTGAAGATGGTGGGGTCATGGGTGAGACAGCTCTCTGTAGTTGAGATTTTTAGCTGCCACATTTGCCACAAATAAGTCCAATTTTGTGTCTGAATTGATCAAAAAGATGTAGTAGTACTACTTAAAAGAAATGTTCAAACATCTATTTCTGGTGTAATCTCAGTTCTGAAAGAACCTTTGCTTTGGGAGCAAGTGCATCTGACTCAGAGCTGAAAAAGACTTTGAAAAAAGGAACAGGGACAGCTGAAACTTGGTAGAACCAATGTGGCTACTTTATCAGGAGATGAAGCAACACTTTTGTTTAATGTATTTTTCTAAAGACATACTCTGGATGCAGTTGGTGGTTCTGTGATTTTGCAGATATTCCAACAGCGTGTCTTTAAACAGAAGTTACTGAGGAAGGAGTTGGAGCATATTTTGAGTTGGAAAGGAGCCACAAGGATCCTAGAGTCCAACTCTGAAGTCAGTGGCCCCCACATTAACTGAACCCCCAGCCTTGGTGTTATTGGCACCAAGCTCTAAGCAACTCCTCTCTCACTCTAAGCAGCTTCTCATATTTCATCAGTTGGGCTGTGCAAAACTGTGATTTGGTACCTGGTGGTGGTTATTCCATTTCTACTAAAACGGGTTTCTAACTCGGTCCTCTCCATGGTCTGCATCTCGAGCACATCAAATGGCATCCAGTCAGGGCATTAACATTTATCCTAGGGAGATTCAGAATGATTCCCTGAGCAATGAGCAGTCCTGCTGCCTGGAAAGTCATACCATAGACAGAATATGAATAAGTGGTTGCAAGGACAGGTGAAACTGAAGAAGGGTAGAAAACGGAACAATGAGAAAGCAAAGTGCTACATCACAGGTCTGGAACTTTTAGCTTCCTTTCAAAGACAGTTTCAAAAGTTTGTTTGGGTTTTTTTTATGATTTTATTTGGCTAGTTAGTGTACATCACTGTTTTGTGCACCTTTTAAGTTCAGTTAAGTTGTGTCTCTATTAATTTCAGTCAGCTTTTCATTTCATATTTATAATATTTTCTGTTTGTATTTGTTTCAGTATTTGCTATTGAATGCTGAATTTATTTTTACTGTACTACTAAGCTGTTCAGCTAATCCTACCTCCAGCACTTTCAGTTGTTTATACCCTCTGAATGTTATAGTGATTTTGTCTCTTTTAAAGCATTATTTTGGGGGGGAAAGGAGGGGTGAGTTGATTTGTTTTTAGTTTGGTTTTTTTTTTCACCCTTTTTAGCTTTTAGGAGTTTTTTATTTGGTTTTTGTTTGTTTCCTTGTTTTTTGTTTTTTTTAGTTTGTGGTTTTTTGTGGGGGGAGGTGTTCTATCCCCAGTTTTTTTCTTTTCCTCTGAATTTCACGGTTTTACTCAAACTGTTTCACCTCTGAAAATGCTTTTAACCTCTTCAGGCATTTTTCTAGCAGATATGCTGAAAGACTATCATTATCTCATCTTCAAACCATTTTGGGAGATCAAATTGATAAACATTCATCATCATTGCAGAAAACCACATCAGTGGTTTGTATTTGGCCTCTGACAATGCCTACCTTTATTCTTCTTAAAGTTCTATTGATCTGCAAACTCTTTTTATTGTCCTTTTTTTTTTTTTTTGCAGTTTATCTTTGTCACATCAACAGAAGTAATTTTATGTTTATCCTCAATCCACAGAAGTTAGTATCATTTGTTTAAGTACATCTTGCATTTGGGTGAATTACAGATGACAGTTGAAGGAATCTTCTGCTACTAAGATGCCTTTCAGGCTCCTCCCCTAATGAAGTCTGGAGTTTTCCTGATAATAAAATACGTGCACCTAGGGGCTGCTTTCAGACTTTTTTTTGATGTGTTAACTTTTCTTCTGCTGAGAAGAGACTGTTGGAAATGATTTCACATGCTGGGATTGCACTTTTTTTTTTTTTTTTTTTTTTAGTTACATATGTACGTTTTTCCTGTTCTGTGGGGGACTTTGCTTTACGAGGTGATTCTGGTCTGTGTTTATTGAAATTGCTCTGAAAGGGAAAAAGAAGTGTCCTGTCAGCTGCTATTCATCAGGAGCCAGTTCTGATCAACAATTCCTATATCTTAGTACTTTTGGTCAACTTTCTGTTTACTTTTGGTGCCTGCTACCAGATCTTATGCAAGGCCAGTGTAGTGCAATACAGAGCCTTTCCAAGAGATCCTAGAAAGCCTGTTCTTTCATCATCTGCTTTAGTGAGGCTAAAAGCTGGCACAGTTGAGTTGTCTTATCTTTAGATGAGCAGCCCTCCATTTCTGCACACTGCAGAGGCATCAGCCACTTCATATCTGCCATGTGTGATGAAAGCCCAGTTCTGTTCCTGGTAATAGAAGGCAGACTTTGTGCCATCACGTTTTTATTTGGGTTGGTACTTCTCTCTCACTATCTAGGTAGCTGGAATTAGTTGTAACTCTGTAACTTTAGGTACCTGACTGTGTTTTCAGGCATTTCCCAAAAGAAGTAGCAGAGACTTCTAGAAGGTTCCCTTATAGAAGGGATCCCTGACTTCACCTTCACGACCCCTGACACACCCATCCATACCTTTTACTGCACCTCCCCTCCCACCCTTGGCACATGCACTGATTTTTTTTTTTTTCCCCCACCAATATTCCCCTCCAGAATAAGCCATACAGAAGTCTAATGACACTATTATATGCTGTTTATGGCTCTAGACCATCTAACTAAAAGCTTCTTGTAACTGAATTTGCCCTTAGTGCTATTGCTATAGGCAACAACATTGCTTGCAGTGCTTGTAGCAGTGGTTTTTGCTGCCTATCTGAATGAGTCTAATCCCATTGCTTGCTGCCTGTTGGTTTTCTGAAGTCTAGGATGCAATGCACCTCTTACATATGAAACAAATTTTGTTGTTTGATTTTTACCAAGCCTCTATCCTATATGTACTGAATTCTTGCTGGAAAATCTGACTTCTGTGTATTAACCATGTAACCACATAATCATGGTCATACTCATGTGTACATGCTTCCACAGTTGTCACAATAGGTATATTTATGTATTATTTTTTAGGTTTTCTCTTTGCCTTGTTGCTGTTTTTACCAGCTAGCATATCTTGCTCCTGGATTGGCTTTTTTCTGCAGCAGAAGTTGAAGGGCTAAGGACATCTGAGTGAGGCACTTAGAGGATATTATATTAAATGATGACTTGGGCACTTAAAAAACAGGGAAAAGGTACAAGGAATAAATTAAGACTAGTGCTGATGATAGAAGTTAATCTTAAATGATAGCGCTATCAAATTTGCTCAGAGCAGATGACAAGAGAACGTCTTCCAGCACTTAAAATGATGTCTGTGTTTTAGGTAGTGCTTAATTAAGAGTGACAGTTTTGAAACTGCTATTTATAGTGTTCAACTGCTATGCCAGGATGCCAGCAGCATGACAACTTTTTCAGAAGCATGGACTTAACCCCTGAGTCTCAAAGATGACTGAATGAGCCCTTGTTCCACAGGTGGCTTTGGAGACTGTGCCCAAAGGAGGCTGTGCACACCCACTTTGGTACCAGTCTTGCAGGCAGAGACTGATTGCCCAGCTCTGTCTGTGATGGGATAGAAAGAGAAAAATCACACCTTGTGATGGGCTGGTGGGGCACTGGCCTTGTAGCAGCAGTGTAAACTTCAGACATGCTTGGCTCTCAGAAAGGAGGAAGAATGGTTTTTGTCAGGAATTCTGGCATTTTGCCTATGCCTTCAGTGTAGGAAGTGCAACTGTGTCATGGCTGTTGTGCTTTCTAAGTTAGCCTGTTCATATAGCCAACCACCTGACCAGTGTTTTGCACTGATAGTTTCAGGTCAGCATGCTGGGAAATTCCTACTTGTCTTTGTTAGTGTGAGTTTTATAAATTGTCTTACCTTTCACCTTGGTATCTTAAGCTTTTTCTCAATCTCACAGAGGGAAGTGGTAGGAGCCTCTCCTTACTTTAGGACAAGAATTGGAAAAGCCAGTGGTTTGTACAAAAGTCTGTTATGGGAAAAAGTCTGCCAGACAAAAACATGAGAGAGGAGCTATTGCACAAATGAGCCAAATCTGCACAGCCTACAGTGTAATGCTTCAGAAAGTGATCTTCTCAATAGAGTTGATCCTACAAGTTTGATAAGCCATATGAAATGTGCTGCCTTTCAAATGAACTCCTTCCCAGGTGTGTGCTGGAGAATCTTAACAGCAGATGAAGCAAACAAGCCAATATTAAAATAGGATTTTTCTTCAGTTGCAGATTTATTCCTCCATTAGTAATTTCTTTGTAATTTCTTTTTTATGTGGTACTGTTCACCTTCTGTTTCTGTCCTAGTTGACACTAAAAGCACAGGAGATGATTGATACACGGTTATTAATGAAAAATGTTTTTAGATGTCTCTTAAAGGTAATGGACAGACATCACAACTGGCATTATAGACTTCTTACATAAGTGTGTATTCAGGCAGCAGTGAAATAGGGTTGCATTTTCTCTTGATTTATTTATTGAGGCTGATAACTTGTTTAGTAGGCTGAGTATTTGTCTTTGGCTCTGACTGATATGGAATAGCATCCAGAAGTGGTTCTCAATCATAACAATTATCCATAAGCTGTTACTGTTTTCATTCTCAAAAAATGTAGGATGGGGATGTGATAATTGCAGATCATAGTCTTAATGTTACTTTTTATCCTGTTTTTTTTTATTCCTTTTGTCTTTCAGCACCTCTCCTTCCCTATAAGCCCCATTATCCTTTATACTGTTGTTTCAGTGCAGTGCTTTTTTTCAGAAATATCAGCTATTTCCACAGAGGTCACTAAGTGATGGTGACTTCATGTCTTTGGAAAAAGTATTTGATAAAGCAAAATACTCAAACAAAAGTCACTGCAGATTGCTGAAATCTGTCTGCTGGACAAAATAGGATGTGTGACCAAAGAATGGCAAGGCTGCAAAAAGTGTCAAAGCCAAGTGTGTGTGTAAGACTGGAATGTGTGTCTGGAAAGCATAGGCCTAAGCCTAGTCCTTTTCTCAGGTAGTCCTGTGAAGGTGAATTTATGTTCAGTGCTTGGGGCTGCTGAGAGGATGTGTTCCCTTCTGCAGACCAGCAGACTGAATTCTTACTGCCTTTTTTCTTTTTGGTACCTCCTACAGAGGCTGCAAGTCGTGCCATAGTCCAGTTTCTGGAGGTCAATCAAAGTGAAGAAGCAAGTAGAGGTTGGATGCTGCTCACCACAATCAATTTACTAGCTTCATCAGGACAGGTTAGTCTGAAACAGCAAAGCTAAAAATAAATTGTGGGGTGGAAGAGACAAAAGCAATAATAAAATGAACTGCATGAATGCTCATTAAAAGATGTAACTATATTCTGCTTTTCTATGTTAAGATCCTGTTTCTCTTATACTGCCACAGGACTTCTGCTTTAGCTCCTTGTCATTTCAGTTGCCTGAAAAAAAAGTAGTTTTGAAACTTTAATTTATAATGTTCTTTTGAATAATGCATGCAACTTTTATTGCTGCCCAAAGGCTTCTCTTGCATACTGCTGCTTAGTGCCCCATGAGATGTATGGCACATACAGCACCTAAATAGTTCAGACCTTGAACTTTGCACACCTCACTGGAGGAGGACCACAGCAGTTGCAAAAAGCAAGGCCAGCAGCAATGATGTGTGGGTGGTAGTGAATCATTCCTGCCTCTGCTTCTGGTGCTGCCCTCCATCAGGGAGCTGTCTCTGGCAGTATACTGGGCAGCTGTGTGGTTTGTTATTTCTGCTCTAATCTGCCTTTGTAATTCAGCACATCATCTTACCTCTCTTTTACTATGTCACCAGCTTCCATGCCAATTTGTCTTTTCTTCCCACTGATGCTTTCATATTTTCTACTGCCTTGCTTCTTAGAGCTCTTTACACCTTCTTGCCAAGTGAGAACATAAATTGAATAGTCCTCCTCCCACTCCCATTTCTCCTGCTATAAAGAATTGATAGCTGATGAGGACTTGGCTGAAGGTCTTGTAATTAACTTGTTAACTTCTGTTGGCAGAGACTGATGGGTTTTGTTTCTGTCCCATGCAATGACTGCTCTGAACTGTGGCTGTGAGCTGCTGTTGTCATGTAAATAAATCATCCTATTTTTAAAATTACTGTTTGGATAGGCACTCAAGAATAGGTGGTGAATCTATACTGCTGTGTCAACACCTCACCAAAGGTGTGAGAAAGAAAAAACAGCATTTCAATCAACTGCATTATTATTGATGTTTTGAATATATAATATGCTGAACTGGTATTTTTTGCTGTGTTTTCTTCTTCCTCAGAAAACTGTGGACTGCATGACTACAATGTCTGTGCCTTCCACACTTGTTAAATGTCTATATCTGTTTTTTGACCTTCCACACGTGCCTGAGGTAGTTGGAGGAGCACAGAATGAACTACCTCTCGCAGAGCGCCGAGCGCTACTACAGAAAGTCTTTGTACAGGTAAGAAAGGTAAAATAGGTCAGGGAATTTGCAAGAGGGACGTGAATACTTCATGTGAGCAAAGTCTAGAAACTTCTCACTTGAGCCAGGTTTTACTCTTCCTTGATTCTTAAAAAAACTGATGGCTAAGAGAAAGGTAGATTTTCCTGAAAGCACAGCTGAGGTTAAATTTCCACTCCTCCTCTAGCTTTTGTCTTTGACAAATACCTCCTGCACAGAAATGCATGCAGCTCTTCTGTACAGATACTTGAAAGGAGCAACATGTGGACTACTATTCTATTTCCAGCTAACTAGTCCTAGTACTTGTTATCTTTGGCTGTTACTGATTAAATAGACATAGTAAAAAACATTATTATTGGTAATAAAGCAGTGCTGTCAAATGAACTGACTGAATGGGTGAGGTTTCAGACCTCCCTCTCCTGTTGCTAACAGCCTCCCTCTAGTTTTCTGAGAGGGAGCCTGAGCTTTTCCTGCACAAGATGCAAAAGATCAGACATCCTGAAAACATGCAGAAAAGGGAGTGCAACATAGTAGCTTGACTTGTATGGCTGCATTTTGTCTTAGTTTTGGTCATTAGGAAATTCAGATCCAGGTGCCAGTTATTCAGGTAGGTCTGCAGTTTTGCTGTAGCCTTTCCTGACAAACTTAATTTGACCAAGATGTTATGGTTGCTGCTCTGCCAACAATTCATCAATAGCCTTCTTCCTGCATTAGGAAGGGACACAGCAGTTTGCCACACAGAGCTGCTCCCCCAGTGCAGAATTTAGACCTGCAAATTAGGCAACTGGCAGATTCTCCAAGAATGGAATATCCTTGTATCCATGCAAATATGCTGTGCCAGCATAAGAGATTTAAACTCTGCTTCCAGTCTTCTGGTAAGCATTTTAAACTGAACTGGGACTTGAAATAACCATGTGTTGAATAACCTTTTCTCGTGTTCCAAGTACAGAAACACCCAAAGAGAGAACAGCACATTACCTTTTTTAATGTGTTTCCTTAATGGAAGAATGTTTTACCTTTTACTAAGTCTAGGCAAAATTAGCAGTGATAAAGGTATTAATGCTAGTTGTTTGATGATTTCCTATTTCAGATCCTAGTAAAATTGTGCAGTTTTGTGTCCCCGGCGGAAGAACTGGCTCAGAAGGATGATCTCCAGCTTCTGTTCAGTGCAATAACCTCATGGTGCCCTCCCTATAACCTGCCTTGGAGGAAGAGTGCAGGAGAAGTTCTAATGACCATATCTCGTCATGGCCTTAGTGTCAATGTAGTGAAATACATCCATGGTATGTGTCTTTCTTCAGTGTTATTTATTGAGATTCTTTCCTGCTCTTTTTTCATAGTTTTCTTATTTGGGAAATAGGCATGAAAATAATAAGGAAGCTTCAAGGCTTTTAGTTTGGACATGTGCTTATTTATGTGCAGGTAACATTTCTATGCCCTTGTGTAGTGAGGGAGATGATCTTAGCTGAGTTTGCCCCATTCACATTTCAATTTAACCTGGAAGGATAGTTTCCTTTCATGTTTTGGTGTAGAGTTCATGATAGGCAAAAGGAAAGGCTTGAAGTAACTTCAGTAACTGCCTGCATTGAAAAATATTTGCTATGAAGATGCATTAATTCTTAACAGTCTTCCTCTCCTGTGGTCCAGCCCAGCTTTCCCAGTCCAAGGATGCTGTTTTTTAGGGCCTGGGCCATGGAGGCTCTTTGGTTGGCTGAGAGCCATAGCTGTGCTGGATGGATTTCGAGCCCCTGTGTTTTCCCTGTTGTCTCACTGACTGCATTGCTGACACTTCAGTCAGCCTGCATTTCTTCTGCCAGGCCCTCCTCTTCCCCACCTTGCCTTACAGATTACAGATTGAAGATTTTGTGCGTCCTGAAGGCCAAGTTGAAGTTATCTCATGAGCTTAATCCAGCCTAGTAAATCACCAAATTAATGAAGCATCCAGAATCATTCCAGTTTGTCTCCTGTCCATTTTTAAGACAAGTAGATCCTGGCTGTTGCTGGCATGGAAACTGTAGTGTTTAGGGACATTTCTGTCACTGGTTACAGATTTTGGTAGCTAATAAAAGTAGTACTTTACTCATCATCTATCTTTACAAGGAGCTGGTAAAGAGGCAGGTGCCAAGCTGGTTGACAATAACTTGCAAATGAAATCCAGCGTTGGAGAGGATATTAGCTGCCTGGAAGCAGCTTTGCATACAAATTATTCTTTTTGTATTAATTGAAAACTGTATGGATGTTTAGGTATGTAGGGCTTGAGGTAAGAAATCTGATAAAATATGTTTCTAATATTATATTTCAGGCTTTTAAACTGTAGGGCCACATGGGTAGCATTTGTAGTTTTTTAATTGGACTGATTGTTGGATTGAGCTAACATCCTTGTACATTTTAGCAGTGTACACCTACTGGAAGAAAAGAAACCCACAATTTTGGGTTGCTCACACCCTGAGAAGCAAGCAGCTACAAGGCTCTGCAGAACCATTTTGATGGTTTATTAAATACATCACCCTGCTCCCACATACTTCACAGAAATTTTTTTTGTGTTTTTTCTTGTGCTAGCAGTGTGTTTTCAATTCCTGTTAAAAAGATGCGAATGTACAGTATCACTCAAAAGCACAGCAATGTCATCAGCTGAGTGTTTTTAGATAGGACTTATAAGGTGATGGGCTTTTGATGAGTGTAGAAGGTGTATGTATATGTGTGAAGATGTTATTAAGTGCAACAAAGAAAATAGCATGAGTTTTGACTGTCATTTGGCATATTACAGCTGCCATCATTGTTGCTTCTCTCTAGGCTTGATCCATAGAGGAGTGAAGCTGGCATGTGAAAAGATACTCTCGTTTTTCAGAGAGTGAAATGGAGTCTTAAAAAGAAAACCAGTCAGCATTGCCTCTTGCTTTTTGATTAAAAAAGTGAACCTGACTTAAGAGATAACAGCATCTGTCACAAGGCTCATCTTGTATTCAGAAAAAATTTAAAATATTTCATCATATGCAAAGGAGCATCTTTTCACCCTCTCATGCTCTGATTTAATCTCTGGGAAATTTTGTTATCAGTCTAGCTAGAAAGATTTGTGCTTGTGTTGTGCATGATGCAAAGTTAAAATAGCAAATAATTGAAGGAAGCATCTTTGAAACAGAGTGCAACTTAAAATCTCACTAGAGATTTGAGAACTTTGTTACTGACCTAATGAACTGATGGAATGTGAGAATTATGCAGGGCAAGACAAACTACTTCTCATTGATGCCAACCAATGAAATGCTAACCAGAGTAGGAATAAGATGACATGGTGTAAAGGTATATATGTAGGGTTTTATTAACTCTTCAAGTCAGTGCTTTGTATAACTGTTTTAAAAGAAAAAATATGGTTTAGGATTACTTACAGTTGCCATATTTGTCTTTTTATTCTGTTGAGTTATCTAGTCAGACGTTTTAGGTAAAAATTACTATTTATCTACAGTTTTCTCCTTACAAGAATAAAGATTGTAAAAGGGAGGAAGGGGTTGGCAAAAAGAGGTTAGGATTCTGATCCAAAGCCACTTGAGAATCCTTCTCATCCTCAAGTGATATTAAGTGTTCTGTGGTAAGAGATATTTGAATAAGTTACCTTATTGCTGTGTTTTGTATGCTAGTTATGCTGTCATTAATGCCAGTAAAATCCTAAATTTCTTCACTGCAATTCTTTTCAGAAAAGGAATGTTTGTCCACGTGTGTCCAGAACATGCAGCAGTCTGATGACCTTTCTCCCCTAGAAATAGTTGAGATGTTTGCTGGACTTTCTTGTTTTCTCAAAGATTCCAGTGATGTATCCCAAACGTTGTTGGATGATTTTAGGATATGGCAAGGATACAACTTCCTCTGTGACCTCCTCCTCAGGTAGGCAAAAGTGCTTGAAGAAATGCAGACAGACCACTGAGCTTTTTTCAAAAAGGTTTTTGTAAAAAAGAGTAGATAAATAGGTTTAAACAAATAAATTAATGTAGATCATTATGGAATGAAGGTATTAGGACCAAAACATTGAATTCTGTGCTGCTCTCCATTTATGAAAATACATTCTTTTTTGTTCTTTAGTACTGGTTTATTGCTAAGTGCTTCTTGCTTTGTAAAGAAAGCAGTTGCTTAAAAACAGCTGATACAAAATATTTAGAGAGAATCCAGAAAATAAAATTTTGGCTGCAACTAGTGATTTTTGAGTTTGGTTTGGAATTATTTTGTCTAGGGGATGGTTTAGTGGTGGGCTTGGCAGTTTTAGGTTGATAGCTGGACTCAATGGTCTTGAAGGTCTTTTCCAGCCTAAATAATTCTGTAATTATATTATTGTCTTACCATGCTATCATAATGAAGAAATGTGGTGCATGCTATGAGGGAATTTTTTTCTTAAATTAAAAGTATTTCTAAGCTGCTAATGCATTAAAAATACAGTAATGAAAATGCCTGCCCAAAAAACCCTTGGGTGTATGATCTATCCATGATCTCTTTTTATTCTTTCTATGAAAGAAACTGCTTCAGTTTTCTGACTGAGAAAGGAAAGTCTGTTGATTTATTTGTGTGAAATCTATGGGCAGTTTATGTTGCCTTGTTTGGATATGAAGTTCTGAAGAATACTTAGCTGTTGCTATTGTAAAATACATATATTTTTACAAATCCAAGGTACATACTGGGTAACTATAAGTGTAAACCTTATGAAGTGTATTTGGGTCAAAGATGCTTAAGACATTATTTACTGAGACATTTTAATGTTGTTGCATCCCTATTTTTGGTGTTAGTATGCTGAGTTTTGGCACCCAAATATTTGAACTAAATTTTCCACTACATTGTATACTTCTGAGGGGGATTTTTGCTTGTTTTAAATGGATACTAGATGTAGATGTAGCATTTTAAATTTTTAATTACACTAAAATTAATCATAAGTTACTTTTGGTGCCACAAAAGCTAAAACACCTGTTAAGGAATTGTTATTTTTCTTGTTCTATGTGTGGAGTTTTGGACTATGTTGTATTCACTAATGCATTAATTCAAAGCAGTGTAATTCAAATGCACTTGTTTTCCAGAATCTGTCAGCCAGAATTTAGGGGAAATAAAAGGGGAACATGATGTCATGTTACATGTTGAGGTACAAAAGTGATTCTCTGTAGATCACGTGTTTTAAACAAATTCTCTCCTGAGCTTGCTCATCCTTGAATCAAAGAATGGGGGATCCCTGGCAAATTCATAGGAAGCCTAGGAATTTGCATGTCTTACTGAAAAAGGAGGACACCTGGGATCATCAGGTGACATCAGTAAAGGTTGATAGCATAGGAATGTGTTATCCTCATTTCTTCCTGAGGTGGCTTTCTAGAAGAAAATAGTTCCCTTCAAAAAAGATCAAGTGATCTTGAAAAAGCCCATGTATTGGTCAGTGATGGACCACAGTAATGTATTCTCCCTGTTTTGGCTTAAACCTACCCACAGAGACTTGTTCAGCTCTGGGGCATTTTTGTGAAGAGAACTGTCATGTTAGGGTATGAAATCTCGAGTCTGGGTCTCAAGCTGCAAAAAGGAAAGGCTTCGGAGCTGGAAAAGCAGAAGGATGGAGAATGTGGCTCAGTAAGACATTGCAGAAGATCTGTGTGGGCATGAGGAGCACTTGGGTAATTTCACCTGGATGCTGTGAAAGGGCAGAGCACGTGGAGGATTAGTAAAATGATAATAGGTGAGCTCAGTGCTTCTGTAGGGACTGTTTGAAGGAGTTTCCTTCCTCAGCCATTTTATGACTGAGAAGATGGAGGGTGCAGAATGAGCTGCTTGTAAAGGGCTCCCACAATCACTTGGCAGCAAGAAGCAAAACAGAACTTACACTGCCTGAGTGAATAGAAGAATGTGATCCTGTGTACTCCTGAGATTACAGAGTTCGTAAATAATTAAATATGGTTTTATTTGTGGTGAAGTAGCAGGAAAATGAGGATGGTTTTATGGTTCAGAGTCAATTTTTAGGGTTTGGTCTGATGGTGTGTTCCTGTCAGTAAACAATGGCTGGAATGGGATGTTAATATTTCTGTTCTCTTGTGTTCAAAGGTGGTAAGAGTTTGGAGTTCTAGTGAGGGTGCTTCATCCCATGCTTCCAAGGGATAGCCTTTACCAAGATACCATTAGCACAAAATATTCACTCTCCAAGTGGCAGTTGTAATTGAGCAAGTTAATTACAGATCTATTTAATTACAGACTATCCATGTACTTTCCTGTACAGTGTCTTCATGTCTGTGAGAGGATTTTAAATGTAATTTTCATGTTTCTTGGTTTTTAGCAAATTATTGAGTTCAAGGAGAGATTTGAGGTGAATTCCTATGGCAAATAACTGTTTGCTCTTATAAGTCCAATGTTTGATTAACCTAATGGTATGATATATGAACATGGAAAGTACTGCAGGAATAAGACAGTAAAACTGTTCCCTAAACTGATAGAATGAAACAGATCTAAAGTGATTTGAGTGTTAACTTCATCCTATTGTGTTTTCTTTAGATTAGAACAGGCAAAAGAAGCTGAATCTAAGGATGCTTTGAAGGACTTAGTTAATTTGATAACTTCCTTAACAACATATGGTGTCAATGAATTAAAGCCAGCTGGTGTTACCACTGGAGTACCTTTCCTGCTACCTGGATTTGCAGTCCCACAGCCTGCAGGAAAAGGTGAGTCTGCTTTCTTTCTCTCCTCGTTTGCTTTTTTGTTGTTTTGAAGGCAGATGACAAGATACAGAGCAGCTGTGTATGGCACAAACCCTCTGCAACCAAGTCTAGGTTCTTTATCTAAGATTGAGTATCAAATACTCAGTTATTTTGGTCTCAAAGATTTTATTTTGGGGTTGGTACCCAAAGAAAAAAGCTTAGGGCTTTTGTCTTTGAGGATGGGTCCAGTGTTTCACTGCAAAGCTGACAGTTTCCTACATGGAGATTTGAAGAGATTATCTTATTGGAGAGATGCACTGATTTGATTTATGGTGTTTTAAGCTGCTCTTACTAAACTGATATGAAAGGCTGATGTGCTGACTTATTTTTTTTTTTTTTAATCCTTTCCCCACCCCAGTTTGCTATGTTAGCTTTTGTCTTCTCAGGCAAATGTAACTTGTGAGCTGAAATCTGTTATTTTATCACCAGTGTGATCAGAGTGATAAAATCTGTGGTGTGCTTGAAACCACAGTCAATTATGATCTGGAGATAAGGTTGAGGAAGTCTTGGGGGAGAAAGGGTTGTATAAAAATAAATCCATGTTTCATATCCTCTGGATAAACTTAAAATTCAAGTTAGTCTTGTATGTAACTAAGGAGTTTGGAATTTAATAATGCCTGTGGTGCACTGAGCTATATCACTGCACAAGAAAAGTTTGTTAAAGGATTGCATTTATAGATTTATAGACTAATGAATATAAATCCTGGGTTCCTTGGCCAGTGACTTCCTTTCTCTGGTATGGAGAGAGTTCATTGTTCTTAGGAATTCTTTTTCTTTTGCACTAAATAGAGAAATTTAATTTAATTAAATTCAGAGTTTAATTCCTCCATGTTTTGATAACACTATTTTTTTAGTCTAATCAGCTTTTCTGTTACAATATTGTGAGAGAACCATGGTCTGTTGCAATCTACAAAAGAGTTTTTTAACACTGTGGTATTTTTCAGGACATCTCTGTTCCTTTTACCTGCTTTTCATAATGTTGGCAAAGCGTCTTTTTAAGACTGTTTTCTGAATTTACTCATTTCCTCAATTATTTCTATTTAAATCCTTTTAGTTCTTGAACTCTGAAGAGCTGGTTAGAATTTGGTTTCTTCAGGGATTATTCTCCTAATAATGAAAAAGAATTTATTAATCTGCTTGATTGCCTGGAACAACTGTTGATACTAAGTTAGAGTAGAAATAGTTGTATCTGACACTACTATGTTCCTGTCACATTTAATAAGCTCTGAATCCCCTCATTTGAACATTTTCATAGTACAAAAAACATATAAAGAAATCCTTTTAGGAGCAACTCAGTGTGACTTATAGTGTAACCAATATTCTTCCAGATGTCAAATTGTTCCATGTTCATTTACAAGGGAATTTTCTCTTGCCTTCTGGAGAAATAGTGACATGGAGGGAGGGTGGCCAGGCATACAGATAATTGAATTTACTCTTCAGTTGGACAACTTAGCTTATAAAACCAAAGAGAGTAGTGTGCCATAGAGAGTATGTAATAAATAAGAACTTGTTGTTTATGAAAGGATTTTCCAATCAGTTTGTATATGCCTTTATTTGAAAAAAAATTAAGATTTTATTGTTAAAACATCCTAAATGATTTTTAGAACGTCTTTAAAGTTCTCATTCTTTATTGTTTTTGTTAGTTATTTTTTTACTGTTAGTTGTTTTCTGTATTGTGGGATCTGTCCACTTATTCCTACAGATGTTTAAAAAGTTGAATTTAAGGCATCTTTTGAGTAGAATAAGAATAATACTGCCCATAGAAAATTCTGGCTAGCACTCATGCATTCTTTAGCTGAGTGAATGAGATTTTAATCAACTTGAAGGTACTTACAAGAAATGTGATGAGCTTTAAAGATGTGAGATGTTTGTGTGCTAATATTAGAGCTACTTTATCCTCTACAAATCTTCCCCTGTGTTTTAATTCCTTAATTGTTAATAGTACTGGACCCTGCCAAAGCTTTTTTTATTCCCAGCTGCAAGGGCTGCGTTCTGCATTAGGGAATACAGAACAGTTATAATGTATAGTGGATATATAGATGTAATGTATCACTGTTGGTATAATGAGTTCTCCTATGGCCTGGGTACATGATGGGCAGGCTTTGTTTTGTCTCTAGGACTGTATCCTGCATACATTTTATCACAAAATCAATGTACTTATCTATTTGAAAGAAATTATCTTTGATCAGCATCTTTAGTTGCTTACATAAACTCTTACTATCAAAGCCATCTTAAAGAATAGTAGGTCGTGGAATTTGCAGTGTAAGTGGTTGTGCAGAGGCTTTTTTGAAGTTAGTTTTAATGATTTTTTTATTAAAAGTGACATCATACACTGTTATTTTATTTCCACTTATTAAAATGCATGGATCATTATTAATAAGTGTATTCATTGTTTATGATGATTAAGAACTTTCTCTTTCCTTTTTCCTCCCATCCCACTTTGTTTCTCTATTTAGGTCATAGTGTGAGGAACATTCAAGCATTTGCTGTCCTCCAGAATGCATTTTTGAGAGCAAAAACCAACTACCTAGCACAAATCATCCTTGATGCCATCACGAATATTTATATGGCGGACAATGCCAACTACTTCATTTTGGAATCGCAGCACACATTGTCTCAGTTCGCAGAGAAAATTCCTAAACTTCCAGAAGTGCAGACCAAATACTTTGAGATGCTGGAATTGGTTGTCTTCAGCTTGAATTACATACCCTGTAAAGAACTGATCAGTGTGAGCATCCTTTTAAAATCCAGCACTTCTTTTCAGTGTAGCATCATTGCCATGAAGACACTGCTGAAGTTCACCCGTCATGACTACATCTTTAAGGATGTCTTCAGGGAAGTGGGGCTTCTGGAGGTGATGGTAAATCTTCTTCATAAATATGCAGCCCTTTTGAAAGATCCCACTCAGGCACTGAATGATCAAGGTAGTGTGTTCATTTCCATTTTTCTAATACTTGTATTTTTTTGGCTGGAAATAGTGGAGTCTAGCACTTAGGAGAAACGAGAGAGTCTGAACATGTACCTCAAGGGCTGAATTCTGCTGAGGACTGCTGTGCCATCTTAAAAGCTTGTTGGAAGTGCTTCTCTCAATTTCTTGAGAGAAGCTCAAGGCTGACTTTAATGAATGATGCTCTATGAATGCAAAGTAATAGGAGCTTGTATTTTCCTTTTTAAATGGGTTTTTCTTTAATGTACTGGTTCAATATTTGTTACTTAATGTGAAAAAAGTAGAGGAGCAATACATAGCATCAGTGTTCTTCCTAAGCAAAGGTACTTTGTACCTTTGTGTTTAGCCCCAGCTTTGAAACATACTATAGAGTGCATATCTGAGCTCTTAATAGGAGATTTTTTATGAGTTGGGTTTACATTTTTCGAAGCATTAAAAAAAAAAAAACTAAGATCAATTATCTCTAGACTGGGGCATCCCAGATAACCTGGACAGCTACTAGGCCTGCAAAGCAAGCTCTGCCATGTGCCATAGGAGCAGACAATTTTTTTTACATTCCTCATTCAAACTGCAATTGAGCTTCTATGCCTCAGTGACACTTATTTTTTAAGCATAACTGCTGGATGTTTCACCTCGATTTAATTGTATGAAGCTTCATTTGTGAGTGGTAGCTGTAGGTTAGTTAGAAAGTTTTGTTCCCCTCAACTCCATTGAAAAACATAGCAGTTCTCATGTTGCTGTAAATAAATGGATGAATCTGTCATCTAATCGGGGTGCTACCTGGGTGCATATGTCCCTGTTGGGGTTTGCTCTTTATTAGAGTAATTTAAAATAACCAAACCCCCACTGTTTTTCCTGAAGTGTTACTCTGTGTGTACCATGCCATTTGCAGTGTTACACCTGTTGAGCAATCAGCATGTTTGCTGTAATTATGTCAGTAGAGTTTTGTACAATTTCTCTTTTCAAGTACTGAAAACTGAACAAGAACAGATGCAGTTAATCTTCAGCTGGTGTAGTTTTGTGGCTTGAAGGAGCAATAGCTGCAATGTCAGGCACTCAGAGTGCTGTAAAACTTCTGTTTAAATACTTGTCTTTGAATCATACGAAAAGTAAATTTTATAGAGTTAAGCTTTCCCAGGAATGCATGTGCAGACTAAAACTCAACTTGCTTTGGAAAATAGTAGGGCTGCCTGCTCTCTGGGGAAGCAAAGAAAATAAAAGTGTTGGGGGAATGTATCAAGGATTTTTGAAAAGAGTGATATTTTCTATGACTTTAGCTTCTGAAATTTTTTGTAGTGGATTCAAGAAACAGTTCATTTGAGGACCAAAAGCAGCTGGCTTTATTGGTTATGGAGACCCTGACAGTACTACTACAGGGATCAAACACAAATGCAGGTGAGTAAAGAGATTGTTGTCAAGATAAGTATAAAAAAAGTAACTCAGAAAATCATGTCTTGACTTTCTATCTTCAGGACAGCATTCAAATACACTGAAATACACTTTCTCTCTGGCCAAGTTTTCCCAGTAAAGAGAATAGACAGCATAACCTAGAATGCATAAAATAACGGAGAATAAGATAGTGTTTAACTTAAATTTCTTTGATATTGTTTACTTGAAGGCAAACACCAGACCCCATCACTCTTCAACAGGTCTATAATAATTCATAGTAGTGCTTGTAACACTGTTTGGATATTTAAAAATTTAAGCACATAATTAGAAATGTAGTTCAGCGTTCACAGTGTCATGTCTACTTAATGTATTGCCTGTATCTTTAGTTAAAGATGTCTTTTCATTTTTCAAGAGTTATTCCCAGTCAGTATGTGCAAACAGGGTTCTGTTACAATTGTCCTTTTCTAAATCAGGCAGTTTTGTATTATGCTTCATTAACCAAGACTTAGTGATTTTGGAACTGTGGTAGTGTCCACCTGCCTTGTGACAAATCCCTGGCTGCTGTTAGATGGTGTTCCTGACCTCACCTAGGAAGCATCAATCAGCCATCAGGACCTCCTTGCTGCTACTCAGGACTGATTTAATCTCTGAATATGCACTGGAGAAACAACACCAGGGAGTGTAAAAGACATCAGTACTTTGGAATGATGCCACAGATGCTGTTTCTGAGGAATCTTGGAGAGTTCAAGGGCCTGATTTCATCAGTAGTTCTCCCAGTTCAGGAATAGGACAGAGCAAACAGGAGGAGCTGAGAAACTTTTTGAGAAAGTTTGGCTGCTGTACTGGGATGTGAGCTCAGTGGAACTGTGTCTGGAGGCCAGCAGAGGTTATAGGTTATCACAGAAGCATAAATAGGCACAGCCTTGCAGTGATTCATACCACACTCAGTGCATGGTTTCTGATCTTAAGCCAGTGTCTCTGATAAGCTTTCCAGAGTATTGCATAAGTGCTAACTGCATTTCAACAGGAAATTTGGGTGCCCAGATCCACACAGATTTACTGGATGGTTGAGAACCTACACTGAGAGTGGGAGAAATATAAAATGTTACCCCAGTCTCTGTGAAAACCTGAGCACAAAGGAGATGGGCTTTACCTGTGAAGGGGTGCAAGAAACTCGCCTGTCTCCAGGTCTGAGGCCTGTCCTTTTGCACTGAATCCATCTCTGATCCAAAGCACATCAGAGAAAGCAGGAGGCACAAAATGGATAATGGGATTAATGTTTGTGTATGTATGTTAGAGGGGATCAACTTATTAATCCTGAACGTGGTCATTTAAACTGCTCTTTGAGTTTATGGTCACATAAATGATCCCTTTTGATGCAGTAATGCAGCATTGATCCATTGCCCCAGTCAGTTTTCATCTTCAGTAATTAACATAGGGCAATGCTCTAGGTGCTGACACTGTACTAAACACACATTATATATGCCATATATATTCTACTTTGGGGTTTGTAATGTTTTCAGAATCGATTTTCATATAATTTTCAGTTATTGTGGTAGCCAGTAAGCTTGAAAACCATTGTTTGGCTTAAGCTTAATCTCTACAGAGATAGGTCTTGCCAATAAAAATCTTCTGCAGAATCTTACAAATCATGTGGATAGACTGAATCACTTCTCAACCAGTGCTCTTGTCCAAAAACAGCCCAGTTGTATTTTCACTTCATATTGCATTTAGGTCATTGCTAAATGTAAGATAAACCAGAACAGTATATGGTCTTCACAAAACATGTAGAGTTTGGTACATTTTTTATTTTATCCTGAGACCCTTTGGCCTCTAGCATGAAAAGAGTAACTGATGTTAAAATAACAAAATTATTGAGGAAATTCTTAGAACTGATCTCCGTCCTTGTACTCAATTCCTTTAGTGAAAAATTTTGTCAGAAGACATTGAAGTTCTATTTCTATTTGTGTTAAGGGAGGAAAAATAGTAGTAAATCATTACACATCCATAGAGCTAAAACTCTGCCCTTCATTCTTGTCTTGGTTTGAA